AAGACTCCAAAGGCCGTGCGCGCCCGAATATCCACAATTAATGCGTTCCCGAGAGGTTTGATTTGAGACCCACCAACACCGAAGACTGAACATCAATGCAAACCCAGATGAATCAAGAAATCGCCTGGAAATTCTCAACGACACTTCCATCTGGGAGTTGGACCTTGCACCATGTTGAGAGTGTGAGCGTGCAAAGCTTACTTAAAGAAAACATGAGCTGCCAGGTGCAAGCCTGGGCCGGTCGTGGTGTTATTCTCCAGCTCCTCTCCACAAACAGAGCAGCATGTCAGTGAGATATGGGTCCTGTACTTTTGTAGAAACAAGAAGCTACTAGGTGGAGGCCATCGCTATTAGGTTGGAGGTCATCGCTACTAGTAACAAGGAGCTACTAAGTGGAGGCCGTCGCTATTGGGCTGGAGGCCATCGCTACTAGTAACAAGAAGCTACTAGGTGGAGGCCATCGCTATTGGGTTGGAGGCCATCGCTATTAGCAACAAGATGCTACCAGGTGGAGGCCATCACTATCAAGTTGGAGGCCATGGCACTAGTAATAAGGTTGGAGGCCATCGCTACTACTAGTAGCAAGAAGCTATTAGGGTTGTTGCCGTTCAGCATTGCGAGTTCTTGTGAAGTCGGCACCTGAGGAGCTCGTCAGCAATATGTGCTTCCAGCTTCATCCTGGGAGTTGTTCATGTAAAGAAACAAAAAACACAGGGCCCACCAAACCTGGAAGCTTCTGGTTTGATGTGCTTCTTCTATGATTCTATGCAAAAGCGATCGATCAGGCCAAAAAAAAATAGTTGTCCAGGTAGTGCAGTGTGCTTCTTGTGATGTCATGGTCTGTCTTCTTGTATGAGTTGAGACTTCCCATCCAATGCCTCTGATGAGACATGAGAATGAAGAAGCTGGCAGTTGACAAAGAAAAGGAGCCAGCGCCGCTTGCGCCCCTGGCTGCGAAAGATTACCAAGCTGATAAACTGGGCTTAGCGGAAGAGGTTCTTCATTGTAACATAGTGCAACCAAGAGTTGATTCTATCTCAAAATATGACCAATACTGCATCCTATACCATACAATGTAATTGGGGAGTGCCTTTCAAGGAAAGAGGGGGGTCTAAGTACTTACCAGTGTGCAGCTCTTCGGAACGGTTGCGTGCAACTCGGCCTGGTAGAACTGGAGGAGTGTCCTCCAGTTGGCTCAATCTTTCGGTGGATCTCATGATGAGAATGTGTAACTAGTAGTCTTGATCATAGGGGACCAAAAAGAGTCTCCGGGCATTGACACATGCAAGTTGACATCTATTAAAGTTAAAAGTATGCTCCGGGACAATCAACCCTATGCCCAATCAGAAGCCAAGCAAGTTCTGAAAGACATATTCATTCTATCATAGAGTCACGTGCCATCCCGGCAGTAGAGTTACTGCAACATTGATGCTTCATGCGGTGAAGGCAAAAAAGAATGTAAAAGCGTTGGAGGCCATCGCAAATCGTAACAAGAAGCTACTAGGTAGAGGCCATCGCTATTAGGTTGGAGGCCATCGCTACTAGTAACAAGAAGCTACTAGGTGGAGGCCATCGCTATTAGGTTAGAGACCATCGCTACTGGTAACAAGAAGCTACTAGGTGGAGGCCATCGCTCTCAGGTTGGAGGCCACTGCTACTAGTAACAGGAAGCTACTGGGGTTGCTGCAGTTCAGCATGGGGAAAGCGTCTCCACATCCGCGCTCCAGTCGCCGAGGTCCTCGTTGCAGCACGGGCCTCAAGTGACGTGGTCCTGGACATTCAAGGACTGGTGAAAAATGGGCCCTTGGATGCCCTTCTGGTTGATTTTTCATAGTGACTCGCTTTCCATTTGAACTGCAGAGTCCTCCATGATCCATACCTGTCCCCCTTTCTTTTTATCATGGGTTGCAGCTCCAACTACCTGGTTGCGGTTCCCCACGTCGTCTGGGTGCAACCAGGTCGCCTGGGGGCCGTCTTGGTGCATTCGCACCACCGGCTCAATGTGTTTTTCATTTCGTGAGTTGAGCAATCCATTTCAAGAACTGGGAAGGTTTCACCTTGCCCAAGGAGCGACACCAGACAAACTGAAAGACTCGGCGCTTGAGCGCTAAGTTGACATCAGAGTCAACATTCATCTTTGACTTCTTATGGGAATTGCCCCACACGAAGTCTTTCATGGTTCTGTTAGTGTTTTGTAAGCTAGATCCAGGGATACTTTGTAAACACACTGCCACTGCGGGAGATTTGACCCTCACCCACCCTTCCCCCCCTTGGTTCGGCTTGCTCATCTGACGCCAACGCAACCAACTTTCGATCGTAGATAACAACGTACCCCTACACTCAAATGTTGTGTGCCTCGCTCTCCCCAGTCTCTCTGTGGGTAAACCACAAACACTGCAAATACCAGCAAAAAAATGATGCAAACCGCTATAAAACACCCAGGCGACCTATGGAACCGCTTGCAACTACCTATTGCTGGGTGACTAAGACTAAGTTCCAGTTCCACTGTCCTCTGGAGGATGAAGATGGTGGAGCTGCCGGGGCTGGGCCAGCTTCTATCCTCACAATCCAGTCTCCTCATCTTCTTCTCTTGAGCTGCCATAACCCAAATCTGATTGTTACCCATTGGTTAGTGTTGTATTGTATGAAATGCTGACCTCTTCTAACCACCCTAACAATTGCGCTGCCAGGTTCTATTGTGTTGTAACCTGTTGTAACCCTACAAAAATGGCAGCACGTGAATCTCACATCTTCGTCAAGATCGTGCCTCACTTGTCGCGCACGCTGGGACATGAGGTTGACCTCAGCAGCATGGAGCGGCATGGGTTGCATGTCAGAAACCAATTTTCAAATGGGGTCTCAAGTGTCGGTAGATCGGAAGAAGACTTCTTCGGAAGTTGTTGACTGGTGCAACCACCGCAATTAGAACTGTGGACCCTTATCTTTGGCCAGGCACTTGTGTCAACGGTGAATTGACATCCTCCAGCACAGCTGTGGCGTGGATGTTGCAAGATACCGCAATGATTCCATCAACAGTGGCATGTTGTGCATCACACGTCATAGATTGATCAGATTTGCAAAGTACCAGAGAAAATATTGTCTCCTTCAGAAGGTTTTCAAGGCCCAAAAGAGCATATTCTTGATTCCGGATCTTGAAGAAGACCTGCCAACGCTGATTCCGGCACTATGGCGACTTGAAGTTGGCAACGTTTTGGCAGCCAGCCCGACGATTGTAGACTCTTTTTGTGTATAAAAATTGAATGAAATGGATCATGTTGCTCAGCGAGCGGGAAATACAGTGATGTCGTGCGATTTGGGGTGGCAAATACTTCAACTGACAAAAATACCTCTTGCATCATGATCATGCATCATCATCCATCGATGATCATTTTCCACCAAAAAAGGTGACCTCAAAATCCTCAAAAAGGTGGCAACCTGGCCTGCGCTGGCGGCGGTGCACAACGCGCATATGCTTCAAGCTCGTGTTGGTGCTCCTCAAGCATCCAAGGATGACAGAATGACACGAAATAGAATGAGGACATCCCAACCAACGAGGTGAGCACTGCTTTGCACAAAACCCTGCTGACAGGCATTCCTTCTAAAGCAGAGACGAAACGTGTGTTTAGCGAAAAATGTACTATACAAATGCACAAAAATGATCCGGGCATACGTAGAATCCGGAGACTATCAAAGAATAGCTGCGTGGCAAACAAGCTAGGCTAGGACTCTGCTGGGAGTCAAACTGAGGACTACAGTCCTCATCAAAGGGATGCCAAATCATCGGATTGTGGTCATCCTGAGATGGCTCTGTGGCGCTGTCAATGCACGAGGCACGCGGTCGTCGTCTGCACACGTCACAATCTGCACATTCCCCACCTCGTAGCGGAAGTGGAATTGGGGTGGTAGATTTTGTGCATGCGCTCCTCCGATCATGTAGGGAGGCTTGATCCTGGAGGTCAATGGTCAATCAGCCATCAAGAATCGATGTTCCATCACAACTCCAATCATGACGAATTCGAGCAACTACCAAGGTCTTTGCGCCTCACCCATCTTGTTGTCCCAGAATTCTTGTTCTTCTGCTCTGCTAGGCCCTGGTGCACCTTTGCTCGGCTCAGCTCTCCCCCGAATCTTCAGTTTAATATTCGAAACACAAACTGTTTCAGCACCAGACTTCGTGACTCCTGGATCCTACCGGGCCCACCATGCACCCATTCGACAGCTTCTGCCGGCCAACCGCCCCGTCATGCTCGACACGATCCGCCCGTGCCCGGCGCCTGGCTGAGTTTCTGGACCACCCGCACACCAAGGTGTACCTCTGCTTTCGTCCACGAGTGGAGTCTGTTCGCATGTCGAAGGCTTCTGTTCGGCCTAAGGTTGCACTCTTCTTTGAGTTGGGAGGGTAGTCACGGGATGTCACATGGTAGGTCAAGTCCCAAACATTCTTCACGAAGGCATACAAAGGCTTGGATGGACTTCGCGGATGAGTCTGTCAGAATGCTTTCGCCTCATCCTCTGTGTGACGGTAGCCATTGTTCAGCTGCTGCTGCTCTCTAGGGTTAAAGCTCTGCCACGACCTGACTGCCAGTTTTCGTCTGCGATATTCAACTTGACATGCTCAAAACATCGTTATGGCCGTTCGCACAGCAAGAGAAAAAATATGTCCATCTCGTCTTGGGTGCAAACCGATCATCCCAGAACTGGAACTCCATGTGCAACTTCCAATTCCATGTGCAACCGTCGTTCTTCGAGCATTCACTTGAGCTTAGCATCGCAGAGCGAAGCAGGAACAAATGTTGTGAGTCAAGCACCACAGAGCAGCCAGGCCGGCCAAACACTTCATGAGTATTTGTGGATATTTGTCAATAAGTGATATCAATGTTCTAATGTCGTCAACGATAAAAATTGCCTGCCATGTCTGCCATGTCTCCGGCTTACTTAATTACCTTTGGACCGGCTGACTGAAACCGAAGAAAACTGTTTTTTTTGTTGCGAAGCCAGGCCTCGACGCGAGACAATTTCAGCAGCGTGCTCACCTGCCAAAGGCGCAGCACCAAGCTTGGCAAAATTCGCAGCTCATCCGAAGACGCTTTGGTTTCAGCTACACAGTCCATTTTGAAAGCCTGAGGCCTGATGAATGAGTTCGGGATTCAACAGCAAACGGTCTGCCCAATAGAGAGACATGGCAAGCCTCAGAAAAAGGTTGTACAGTATTCCACTGAGCGGATGCCTTAATGTGATGCTGCGTCCCTTCCCCACAATCCACGAGAATGATGCCTCCTGGCGTCGGGCGCACTGTGGCAGGAAAGCTTGCGATTGGCATGATGTCAGATTTGCGATTTCGCATGATGTCAGATTTGGTGCAACAAGTTACTATATACAGGCGTCCTGCAGTCTTAAGAAGGAGTTTCAGGAGTACTGCGCCGTTGAAATGTCAATCGGTCAAGAACCAAGTTGGACAGGATGAAACAATGGTCCAAGTGTCCTCAAAGAAGTATCTCACTCAAGTCCCAACCCCATAGCCAGCGGGTCTCCAGTGTTTAACATCACCGCGAGGCTTGACCTCAGAAACGGCCGGTGGCGTCCGATTGCATCGGAAGAAAAGCTGTACTTGCGCCACGTCGTGTGCATGTGGTTGTCATTCCTGTAACTGTCCATGTATGGAGACAAAGAATCCTGATGGGAAGTACAACTCACAGTATCATTCGGTATCTTTCATGATTGCATGGGTGCACTTCACCCAAAACACTTTGTTATGTCTGCAACGGCTTCAAGCCACCAAAGTCTCTGATCCCTGTCGTTTCCAGCTCAGGTTTACACATATTACGCTGTCCTGGCTGCTTGATGCTGATTGTTTCCAGCAGCAGTATGTCACATGGCAGGACTTTAAGCAATAGCAAGGGAGATAAAGAGGGCAAGGCTCCTCACTCGCATCTTGGATTTCATCTCGTGAAATACGTCAAGCTGATCACTATCATCGGATCCGGATCGGGCTGGATCGGGTGGACCCAATGACTCACGAAAAAAAACAAGAACCTCGCACCTGGCACAGGGACTGCTGAGCCAGTACCCAGGAAAACCACTCGCTCCATCCGAGCCATCTTGCTTTTCCGTGCTCCTGCGAAGACGATGACGATGACGATCCTGCCGAGACGAAGCCGATGTGTCTGCAGTCTCAAGAGCGCTCCTGCCGCTGCAAGCAGTGCCGGAGCCTGGACACAAAACGATGTAGGCTTCCGAAGAAGTTTTGTTCGCTTGGAACCTCTGAGGTGGGAAACACCTAGATTCTGGAGCACATCTGAACGCAAAATTGACCTTTCGATCAGGATGGCGCGCATCTCTTCTCGTCCGATAGATCGTTCTGACATACACACTTTTTAACATCTCGCGCAATCCACAACAAAGGCATCAACTCTGCATTTGAGACTCAGACGCAGGCTGCTTGTCGCAGGCCGCGACAAGAAGGCAGCCAGGGGCGTGGTTGAACTCAGTACAAAAATGCTCAGAGGCGGGGCATTGTCCGAGCACAAGAGTTCATTTGAATGCTGTCCCATGCATTCCCAATGCTCTCCCTGGCACAGCGGTCCCTACTGCAAGTACTCATCACGTGCGTCCCCACTGGTTCCCTCAGGGTCCCCCGGCAGCGGTGGCGCACTCGCAAATAGTCCGGCTCAGCACAGCAACGAACCACCGGAGCGCGGGTGGGCAAGCCCCAAATGGCCATGCATAGCCGCCCCCCTCCACGAGGCAGAGCCCCGCTCGCAAGGCAGGTGGCTAGACCGACAAGCGTTCTTGCGCACGAGAAAACGGATGAATCATGTATGGTTTGTTTTTTCCAGGGGTGCTCGGCTTCGACCAGTGTTTGCACTTCGCACCTAAGGCTGTGAACAATGTCTGAGTCACTTGGATATGGGACTGCTATAGGCTGTTTGCTTCCTGCCTTAAAAATACAACAAGGCCTGTTCAGGTGCCAGCATGCAAAGTGGACACCCAACAATCCTCATGTGGCTTCTTGTGGAGTCCATGCAAAGCATCCTGTGTTTGGGCCAAGGGTTTTGCCCTGCACGGCCCAGCCTCTGCTTGGTGGGAAGATATGAAACGTTATATATATATAATTATTTATTTTATGTATATATACTTAGTATAATGGTATAGTACAGTATATTAAGCGCTTCTGCGCAAGCTGCAGCTGAGGTTTGTCGTGATGGAGCTGACTGAATTAAAGTGGATCAGGCTTCACAAGCGGGAAGAACTGGGTACTGCTCATCAGAAGGGCTTCCGGGGAAGCAGCGCTGATTGATCGATATTGATCGCAGATTTAGTTGAATCTCAAAACATGTTGGATGAACCTCTCGTACAATTCTGATGAGCTTCTTCTTCTGCTTCTCACCTCAGCAAAGCTGCGTGGCCTGCCACCTTCTACAAGCCTCAACACTGATCCGCACTGACCCTTGATAAAAAGGGCTTGGACACCTGAAACACGTCAAACCTGTGGCCAATCAGAGGGACTTTGCTCGCCTTGACCAAAAGAGCTGCCGAAAAAGCGTTGCTGCCGATTTATCGTATATCATTGACGATGACACGGATGCGAATCATAGAATACGGCACTGGATCCTGAGATCAAAATAGACAATATTATTAATACGTATGATATGGTTACATGAACTAAGACTTCTTCTAATCTGCTCCTCTGCAAATGCCAGCAGCAAAAAGAAAGTGAAGGAAAGGGACTGGAAGTGACTGGAGTGACAACCTGTTGTCCTCACGAACCTCACTGGCGTCTCTGGCTGAACTGGGCAGCAAAGGCTTCCAGTTTGCTCTCCCCAAGCCTAGTAGCTTCGTCTTTGTGAGAGGAAATCACAGAGTTTAACATAGTTTAAGCAAAACTCGTATCCGGAAAGTCACACAGCGTTTGAAGAAAAACTGCTGTTGAAACTTAATACATCTAAATACATCATAACAAATTTAAGTGATGGTAGGGTCACCTTCCATAAAGAGCTGCTCAAACAGGACTTCCTGTCAGAACCAACGGAGCATACCGGGTCTTCAACGGATGCATCGATCGCATCGATCCCCGTGCCTCAAGGCGAAAAGGCCAATGCCCTTCGAAGTTTCCTGAACACGAAGAAGGCGAAAAGGTCGGTTTTTCCGCTTTCACTTTCACTGGTGAATTTCTCTGTCCTGTTTGACCTGCCATTCAATTACCCAGGAATCCGATGCCAAATGTATTTCTTTTAGGAAAATCCTGCAGGAAATTACAACAAAGGCTCTATTGATTCGGACCCAGATTGACCCAGTTGCAGCAATCCCCGTTGTGCTGTGGCTGGGCCTCGTCGGCCATGTCCGTTTTGTACACATCCACGAGGACCCCGAACAGCTTTGGGACGTTCTGACCTGCCAACAGCAAAGGATTGATTGAAACAAGGAATAAGTGCTGTGGTTGATCAGTTGATCGAATCAAATGTGTGTGTGTGTGTTTTTGATCAATTTCCACTGTGGTGTTTCAACCACAAGACCACAGACCCGCACTGGACCCATGCAGTTTGCTAACTGGGGGCTGGCTGCAGGTTCCCTCCAAGTCAGGTCGTTCCTTGACTTTTTCTCAAATATGTATTGGCACCAGCTCCTGGGTAGGAATCAAGCTCAGTTGGCAAAAGGATGAAATTGACCCTTAAACAACTGGACTACAACTTCAACGTCTGGTTTGCCAACCTCTATATCAATAGAACCCCAAGTTCCCCTCAGTCACGTAGTTTCTTTCGCTGTCCTCGACCACCGTATTGAGAATCCTGGACCTCTCCACCAAAAAAAATATTGCCAGCTGTTGCACCAGCCTCCTTCGCCAACGACTTCCGGTTTCTCCTGGAGGTTTCAGCTAAACAAAACGAACAGCTAGCCGCTAGCCCTCTCCAGCGGCCACACTTGCTTCAATGCTCAGTAGTAATATACATATCTATACATATCTGATACTGTAATTCTGTTCTCACTCTCACAATGTGTGTGTGTGTGTTTCACGTCCTGCTGGATCAACTCAAGCAATCTTCTGTGGTTCCGTTCACCTTCGGATTCATCCTCCTGACACGGCCTCATGCAAACACAACAGGTTCGGCAAAGAGACAGTAGCAAACTCTGGATACAAAAATGAGAGCCCCCAGTACAATATTCTGTTGCCTGTGCAATAGAAACCCCTCTTGAATAACAATCCAATTGGAGTCTTGCATTCTAAATCATTCTAGATAATGTCTCAATGCAAAAGTCCATGCCAATCAAAGTGCGTGTGTGTCACACAGGGCCCCCCCTGCAAGCCGCTCAGCCAAACCTTCCAAAGCTCTCCCTGAAGACGAGAGAGCTCCAGCGCGGCCAGGTCAGTTCGTACCAAAATCCCCAAGTTGTCACTTGAACATGTGCCATGTCTCCATCCCCCAGTCCCGAGTCTCCCTGCAGAGAAAAACACACTGAACATGTTGATACATGTTGAATGTATTCCTTTTCGGTCCTTTGACGGCCTTCGCTTCCTGAATCATGGACTTGAATTTGCTGTCTTCAGGAAGCTTGTCCCCTTCACCGAACTTTAGCGCTTGCGCCACACCACGGGACTGGACACGATGAAGGAGATGGCCTTCTTTTTCCTTCACTCCACGTCAGTGACTACAACCTGCTGGTTTTGAAGCGGATGTCATGGACAAGATAGGCCATTGGAGGTGAAAACTTGTGAAAACAGTCTCCTCCAGTTTCCCCTACAAATGGCACTTCCACCGGTTCGGAAGCTCCCGAACTGAGTCACCAAGTCACTTTCGGGAAACCGACGCGCCTGCACGGAAGCCACCGCCTGAGGGTGAACCATCAGGATCTCAACCTCAGGAGTTCTCGCTGCCGTCGGACGCAGATGGTACGCGGCTCCTGTCGAGGTGGATCGACTGTCGGCCGAACTGGATGGAGCCCAAATGGGACCTTCGTCATGGTCCAGGGCGTCGGTGCAAATCTCTGGGCTTTTTCAGGGTGATGATCCCAAAAGCGGGGAAGACGTGGTTTTCTGAGAGACGGATACCTTGGTTGACCCACCTGAGAGGTCAAGCTACATGGTGTTGGAGCTCCAGGTTTGACCCATCCCCAAGTGTCAACAAGTTGTCCAAGGACCCAGCAAGGCCTGAGAGCGCATTGTCTGCACAGGCCTCGCTTCGTGGTTCTGAGGGATGACTGTCGGTGGTCATCATAGGTCCTTTACCCTCTCATGCCCCCCTATATTCTGATGCAAGCGATCGCGTTAATCCAAAGTAGTCCATGAATTTGCAAGAAATCACCATTGTTCAGTACACAGTATGCCCTGGCCTGTGCGATCTTTTCCGACTTCTTTTTGCTCCTCTGCCGTGACTGTGTGACTACCTGGATACAGAAGGCCAGATCGAAATCATAATCGGTGAAGATTAGTCAACCTGATGTCAGCCAAACACAATCTACAAATGCCATCCACCTCAGAGAGTCTCTTGGCAGTATCCAACGCCAAAGGGGCGAATTCCTCAGATGCTCAGCTCGTGGTCTGACTGGTTTGACCACCGGTCTGACCAGTCCGTGTGTCATGCTTTAGTGTATTTTGTCAGATAGTGGTGACAGGTAAAGCAAGCACAAAGTGTAATAGTGTAATAAGGACCCCGAAGGCCATTTAAGAATAGTTGCTTAGATGGAAAGCACTACAAGACAGGGGTTGCTGCATCCGTTCAATTCACATGATCGATTTACCGCAAAGGTCACTGGGCCACCCTCACAGGGACCTTTGCAGCCAAGTAGACCCCGAAGCACCTAAAAGTTCAGCTTGAGCGGAAACAAACATCTGGAGCGGCGCAAGCTAAGAGAAATCAGTTCAATCATTAATATATTGTGTATAGAATCTGAATCAGAATCTACACAAAGTAACTAGTTCTGATTGATCGGGAGCAACCCCGAATCCAGTTAAGCATAGCTAAACTGGTATGTTTGACACATTTGACACCATTTCACCCAGCCCTAGGTCACTGGCGCAGGTTGTCTCAGCTCTGCATCTGGATTGTGGATGTCCTGACACATGACTTTGCTTGTGGGCATCCAGGTGTGGCTCAACTGGGACCGAGGGATCTGCAGGCAATGGGTTTGGTGGCGTATTCCCAGGCTGCTACATGCAGCGAGTGATATGGCTTCAATATGTAAGGTTCTTACAGCTCGTGTAGCACAACTTGACCATGATGTGGGGGCGCGCATGTCTTTGCCCTGAGCGATGAATTTCTTGATGGCTGGCGGCTGGTTAGGAACCTCAAGTAAAATGCTATTTTACTGACTGGTGAAAATGGCGTGGTCCTGGTCGGTCTTTACAGCTCGTAACGTGGTACGTACGTTGCCTTCGAGAGTATGCAGGAGCTTGCTTTCGTCTGCAGGAGCTTGCTTGATGCCTGAGATATCTCCGGCTGACACTGAGACACCGCTGTTGACTCCCGACCCTTCGGAGGTCCCGCCACTCAGAGTGTACAAGTGTACAACCAAGGTTGCTATCGCTAGGTCGCTATCGCTAGGCCGCTATCGCTAGACCGCTATCGCTAGACCGCTATCAGAGTGGCCGTCCTCGATGAGCTTCGGTAGAAATTGAGGCCACTGAGGTGTCGCCTGGAGGTTTTCAGCGATCACCACTGGGAGGTTGATTCTGGAAAGTTCTGGAAGGAATGACTTAACAATGTGACAACATGTTACAAGCGGTTACCAGTGAGTCATGGTGTCTCATTAGCATATATCAGCATCGTGTGGCTCGCTCCAGCTCATCGTTTGCTTTCGGGACCCCCGGCTCTCTTCCCTAAGTACTCGAGGAAATCGCACATCACGAACCTCCGATGCGCAACTCATCAGTTTCGGGCCGGTGGAGTTGGACTGCAACGCTGCGGGTTCGCTGTTTGCGTGAAGAAAACGAATAGAACGCTCCATCGGCGCTTGGCGCTCAGGCGCTGAGGCGCTTGCAATGCAAGTTTTCGATCATCCTTTGGAGCCTGTGGCTGTAACCACTGAACAACCTGGCTGGATGATGGTCATGCTGCAGGTCACATTTAAAAATTGTATGTATATAATATATATATATATGTTTAAAAAATTATTTAACTCTAATGCAATCAATGGGGACACTTGACAACATACAGGCTGTGAGATCGATCTGAGCAGCTTATACATGCCAGGGTGACAAGGTTGAGGTAGTCTGGAAAGCTCTCTGCTACGAACATGTCAGCATGGTGCCTGAGAGCCGCTCTTGTGCTTCGATGCCGATCTTTGTCGCCGCTGACCAAGCTCTATCCACCTGTTCCCCAAATACGACCGTCTTCCTTTGACAAGAACAGGCTACACATACTCAACAAAAACTGGCGGCAAGGCGTTGTAGCTGTGTAGCTTCACATCTGAATCTAGGCTGCAGACTGCATCAAGGAGCCCGCAACTTCACACAGGGCTATTCGCATAGCCTTCCGTTTGGATCAACCTTTTCTTGGACTCATGCAGGCATGATTCCCAGGATCATCAAAGGTGTCGCCTGTTCATCTTCCTCTTCATCGTCATCATCATGATGTTCGTCGCCATCCTGTCCCAAGTGAGAAATCTGCCATCGCACAAAGACTAGATTGGCCGATCATGAAGAATATACGCAGTCAGGGACACCCGAGGTAAGCACCAATCGGACATGAGACGCTTCGACAGAGGTGGAAGACTTCGCACTCATGGCCATACCACGCCTCGTCATGTTGGGACAGCCCATTCGGTCGGCCTTTTGCAGCCTCTTCCCGACGCTTGAAAGATTCTGCCATCACTGCCAGAGTGGTACGACCTGGGTCGCAACAATTATGCTGTTTCACCAAAAAATGCTGCTGAATCGTCCACCCGAACGCTGTCAATGCATGTCAACACACCAACCGGTTTTACTTCTCTGAAACCCTCTGCTCCTGTGAGTTTGGCCTCCGGGCAAATATGTCGCAGCTGTTCGGCATGCAGGATATTTGGACCAGCTTCCCTGGGAAAATTCATCTCAGAACTCTTCGACCCCCCCCTTCGGCTCAAGAAGCTCAGTCCCCCAAAAAACCGACAGGCGCAATGATTATGACCTTCCCAGTGGCAGCGATAAAACCATTCAATCAATTTGAATCATAAAAGACATCAACATAAGGAAAAGGAAAACACCACGACATTCTGCCCCAGATGGTTGTTGGGGTCCCTGATGGTTGTTGTGGTGGAGCGCCACGCCGTTGAATCCACGCCATACTCTGGGCTCCTCACTTGAGGCAGCTAGTGACCCCCTCAGCGCTGGTCTTCAGCTCGCTGATGTCCACCTGGTCACCCGGTGGTCACCCGGTGACCCTACCCTTCTGACAGGTGCTTGCATTTGCGATGTAACTTACATGTCACTGAAAATATGTAGAATCAATGTAAGTGATAAACTACAACAGAGTGTGTCAGTGTATCACACAAACCGCACACATTATATAAATGTTGTCCATTCGGCAAACTTCCGGAATAAGCTATCCCAGTGGGGCCTCTTGATTGCTTGGTCGGGGGGCAGACCTCTGCTGCCCAGGTTACAATGGATCAGCCTTTGCGTTTTAAGTGCAGTGCCGTTCAGCCAGCCTGTTATGTTACAAAGCTGTTAGTGCTGTGTTTGGGGACGTGTCACTAAAACTGAGACGGGAGGAGTGCACTTTGTTCAAGAAACCACTCACATCAACACATCTCCCAGACATGACCATGAGCTTCAAACAAGGCTAACATAAGCTAAAATGTGTCCATGCTTGTGTCTGTGCTTCTTCACCAGAAAGTGTCTTCTTAGATTCTTGACAAATGTCCAACCAGAGTGAACCAAAGCTGAGAACAACTCAGTGTCTGGAGTCTGGACTCATGAAAAATATGCAAATGCCTTCTTGTTGGCAATGGGGAGGGGCATTGAGGTCCAAAACCTAAAGCCTTGTAGTGGAAGAGCCCCCAACAGTCTTGAGACCACTGTCTTGAAGGTGGAGGAGCCAAAAGGAACTTTTGACTTTGCTGTTTGGAGCTACCACAACAACAAATGTCTAGCTGTGTTCCTTTTTGGTCTATCGCGATCGCGAGCGGTCTGGTCGATCACGACCCGGATCTGGAGGAGTCTCACTGCGGAGTCTCCCCGTGCGGAAGGTGCGATCTCCAGCCTCGAGCAACAGCTGCCGCACTTCCGGGTAGCCATTCGCAGCTGCAACCATCAAGGCGGTTGCCCCCCCTTGAGCTGCTGCCTTCGGGTCAGCTCCAGCCTCGAGCAACA